CTTGGCTGGGCAAGGGGCAGCATGTTGAGGGCTTGCTGGGGGCCTGCTGGGGGAGCTGGGTTTCTCCCGCCTGTTTGGGGGAGAGATCTGTTTGCTCAGGGACAAGCAGTGGCCCCAGCGGGGTTTCTCTGTGTGAGAGGGTGGCAGTCATGCTTGCAGATCCCCCTGCTAATTCCGGGTCAGGGCTCGGGGCGTCCTGCCCACAGAGGCACTGGCAGGCTGCCGGGAGGGGATTTTGGGATGTTTTCTCTGGAAGCCCGGGTGGCTCACAAGGGCAAGGCAGGAGCTGTCATACACTGAGCTGTCTGCGTGGGAAGGCAGGGGAGCAGCGCTGCAGACGGCTCTGGCGTCGTGGGGTGGCACCTGCTGGGTTGGTGGGGCTCTCAGTAGACGTACCTGTCAGCCTCCTCTGGCTTTTCCAAGCAGCCAACGGGCTTCCCAAATCCCTCTCCACATCCTGCCGGCTTATGTTTCGGCTGCATCATAGCTGTAGGCTCCCCAACGTGCAGGACCACACCGGGGGAGGAGGCGAGCTGTGCCCAGAACCACGCAGGCACCTGCGACAAGGGACGGGCTCTGCTGCCTTTAATGCATGCCGGGGCTGGCAGGGACTACAGATCCCAGCATGCTGCTTCCTGCCTGCCTCCTCCCACGCCCTACCTGGCAGGGTGCAGGCAGGGATGCTGTAGCCAGCAGCGGTGCAGGCGGCTGAGGGGCATGCCCTGGGGGGGCCGGGGGCTCAGCGCCGGGAGCCCCACCGCAGCTGAAGCCCCGGGAGAGGTGCCGGAGCACCCTATGCTGCGCCGCCCGGACTGGAAAAGGACAAGGCAGGCCTGCAGCTTCTCCAGGGCAGCTAATCCCGCTCTGCCCCAGGAAGAGGGGGGAGGACCGGGGAGGGAAGGTCCCTTCTCGGGGGTCCTGGGGCTGCGTCTCTGGGGCTGTGGACGGGGAAAGCAACGCCAGGGCGGTGGCAGGGGCCGGGCAGGTGGTGATGGGGGAAAAGGAGCGGTGGGCACTGGGGAGGAGACAGCAGTGCCAGCGACGCCCTTGGCTTTCCAAGGTGACTTAGGAGAGGGCTGCGAGAGCCCCAGGGAAGCAGGAATTGGAAATGGGGGGGTTGTGTGGTTCTGGCTGGAGAGGCTGCTGAATTAAATGTGTCTTTTGTGCTGCCATGCCCCG